AAGTATAATAGTTAAGAGATGGATTAGAATTGCTTTAGCTTGAAAAAAACTTCGCGTTTGTTAATAATAAAATTTGGGGAAAGAATTTCAATTTGATTTGATTGGTCAATAGTCACGCATAGATCCACATAAATTAGCCAATCACATAAGTGTTATAACCCGTGATTTCCGTCAAAATGCGAGTTTCTTCTATGCTATTAGAGATGGGTTTCATGCGCATTCTATCCCATCAAGATTTCTCTTCTCTCGATCGTTTTTTCTTTTTTTGCCTTTTTTTTTATCATGTGATATCATGCGCATGAAACATTTCGTGCGCATTAATGCGCATGTTATTATAAAATGCGTATTTTTCCCATCACTAGTTTACATAAATCTATAATAACTGTATTGCTAATATATAGGTGCGTCCAGATTAAACCTGTAAATGAAAATTTGACACCATAACTATCGTATAATTTTGACCCAATTAAGTTTCAAAGATCAATCTGATCTTGAAATTTGATTGGGCAAAAGCGTAAAACGTTTGTGGGTCAAATTTTTTACCTGCAAGTTTTTAATCTGCCCGCACACATACAGTAAATGTATAGTAATGCAGTAATAAAATAATTATTTAGTATCTTGAAACTAAAAAATTAATAGTACAAGTGTATTTCTAAAATATGATAAATACTGTAAATTATAGTTACTTTATAGTTAGTATTCAAGTTGCAAATTTACAAGTTTCAATCAAGTTTTTAAGTGAAAAATTAATTAATTTATTCATTCATAATTTCTAAAATTTTCTAGTTATCATCGGATACTTCATTAGTTACTATGTTGGATTGCTGAATTTTTTCTAAATATTGGACATTTACTACATAATCTCTTAAAAATAATTGTAACAAATCTAATCTTTTTTCAAGTTGGTTAATTAAAATTTCATCCTTTAAATCATTTGTATCATTAGTTAAGTGACTAATGAATGGCATTGATTCTAAAGTAACTAATAATTTATCCTTTACAATTTGGTTAACTTTGAAAAGATGCTTTTGAACTAATCCCCATGGTTTAATAGTATCTGCACCTAAAATAAAATAGAAAATTTAATCGCATTGCAAATTATTCAAAATTTTCAATGATTCAAATATATATATACCAAAAAGTAATGCATAAAAACTTGTAATTAGCCCAAATGCTCCGCCAAATAATCCAAGCGCATTCAATATCTGTAAATTAAAAAAAATTAATTTCTATAACGATAATATATCTCAATTTGCATTAATTACATAGTAATTTGATAGTGACAACTAGTTACTATAACACATAAATTTAATAATAACTATATAGTCAGTATGCAGTTACTATATCTCATTATGAGGATTGATTGGGCTGAGAAGATCCAATCGTTAGAGTGAATATCCGCTGTAGCATCATATAACATAATGTCATTTATTTTAAATTATTCATAAAATTTACTCCGCTACAACGGATGATCCGACGAACCAAGCATAACCACCGAAATCAGTTACGTACGGAGTTTAAATGCATATAGTTTAATATAATAAAAATTTTCATAACAAAATCACTCGAAAATTCATATAATGTTGAGTATAAATTGTATTTATACGGAACTGATTTAGGTGGTTATGCTTGAGGAGTTCGGATGATCCACTTTAATGGGATCCAATGTAAGGAGGGTAGAATGTATAATGTAGTTTGTATTTTTTAAAAAAACATGTCCTACAGTTTTAAGCCTTATGAAAATAAATAAAAAATATGTTAATTACGCATAATAATAAGAATAAAGTTAAATTAATTTTGTTACCTTTGATCTGTATCAACTTGGACAATAAATGACTGTGGTTCGATATTTATTGTAGAAAATAATGTTCGAAGTTCCGTAGTATTCGAAATAA